GATTTAAAAATCTGTCACCACTGAATAGGTGGAAAGTAGATGAAAAATTTAAGTTTCTAATCTAAGGGAACTGAAAGATCACCTAGTAAGTCACACACCTTCACTTTTAAGGACATTCAAGCAGAAAAGTAACTCTCCAAAGTCACACAGTTAAGTTAGTTCATGGCAGAACCACACTTACAAGTCAGGTCTGAAATTCTTGGCAGTTAAGGCCCTTAATCTGGAATCCACAGACAAGATTTCTAGGAATTATTTTCATGTATAAAGGTGATTATACAGGTTTCTGAGTCTATAGCTGAAATTGGGTTTTCAAAGGTAGCGACCCAAATTTCTACAAATTTCAAATTCACGTAATTTAAATATGATTTGTTTTTAAATTTGATTTGCATAGTATTTTCCAGAGTGTTCTTCTCCAAGTATAGATAATACAACTTATCCCTACTGTTTTCTTTTGAATAGCTAAATCCAATTAGAAAAAAAGCAACCCTTTTTATTCAGAAAGCATGTACTCTTATTTAAATTAGAAGGTATTTGTACTTTCTACAATCTAAATTTCCTCAACTTTCCCACTCTATTAAAATTCTGTTCACGAATATTTAAAAACGCACACTTGCAAATGTTCCATACAGTTCGAAAACCTCCAAATGTGTGGAAACAGCATTTGCCAATTCAAATTTATACTGTTCTATCAAACTCTGATACTTGGAGACAGCTCTGCATTTTTTTAATCTTTCATTTTCCTTTCCTTTAGATACAGGAGAGAAATATTCCCCCAAGTCAGAAGAGCATAACTTATCTGAATGTCTTAAGCTGACACCATATCTCAAATTTCTTTTACAAGTAACACAGAGCACCCTACTCGGTTTGTTCTCCTAATTAAATCACATGCTACCGAGTAACTGTTTTAATTTCAGTCACAAGACAGAAGTTCCATCAACGGTCAAAACCAGTCTGATTTTACCGTTGAATGATTAATACTTTGATACTTTGCAAGAGTGCTTTGTAAACTATAAAACTCTAGAGAAACAAAGCTTTTATCACCTCAAAAAGAAGGCTTATGGTTTGCTGCAATGACATCATTTTCCTTTTACATTCCAGGCCATTCTCATGCTCACACTGAAGCTACATTTAAGAATATACACACCTAAGTCTTCACATCCCCAAAGATTTATTTTTCAACTTTCCATCTTTGCTTGCATTTACCTCAGTGCTTTATAATTATGAATTACTGTGTAAAATGTGAAGCAAGTTTAAACATTACTTTATCTGATCCCTAAAATAACCCTGTCTGTAAATGCCAGTAACACTGCTTCCATTTTACGGGTGAGCCAACAATGTTCGGACTTAGCGGTGTTTACGAGACTGAAAGTGGCGGTCTGAACTGGAACCTGCCCCTGTCGTCTTTAGAATCCACTTAAGCGTCTCCAACACAACGTCAACTCGACCCTTCCTTTCCCCAAACACAGTCCTCTGTCAACACCCTGTACCCATGTTCGTCTTCATGACGCTGCCGCACAAAGAGGGTGTAAAACGGACACATCAACGTTTGGGTGTCCGGAGCTTATGGTGGAGAATATGATGGAGGTGGGAGAAAATGGCTGATTGTGTCAGCTGTAAACATTCGCATATTAAAGGTCTTTTAAAGGGCTTGTAAATTAAAAGGCTATTAAGAAAGAAATTAAATGCTTTAAGTAAAATTGCAAATTTTTTAAAAATTAAAGCAGCCCACACTACTCAGTAGGAATTAGGTTTAATCGGTAAGAAAAAAACCCAAGTACCAAAAGCCACACACTGGAACTGAAGCTGTCTGGCTTCTCACGGTGGGTTCCGGGACTGGCCCTCACAGTACCAGTAAAGAGCCAAACCATGAATGAGTGTTTGACCGGAGCTGTAAGATTATTTTAAAAGTAAGTAATAAATCACTACTTAAAAATGTACAGTGTATTTTCAAAGCTCAAATGTCTTTATGAACTTTAAAGAATGTGGAATATAACTCACTCAAGCAGTAATGATGTACTTTTCCTAAGAAAAATACTTAGAGTCTTCCTATTAAACCAAAGCTACTCCAAAGATGTAAAAGTGGGAGTTTAACCTTCGGTTTATTTCTATGCACTAAGCTGAGAGTTCATCCTTTTATTTACAGGGCACATAATAAAACTATTGTCCTCTTGTATACAGGAAAAACTTTTTACACACAGGACAAATTCGATTTCAGGTGCTCGACTAGTGCAACTTTCTCTTTGCATTTCTCTTTAAAGGTAATGTACCAACATGGGACTTAGCAATGGACACAGCACCTATCCTCAACTTCCTGAGTGCGGTGACGGTGAGCAGTATTTGCATTCCTGCTCCTCTCTCCCTATCCAATTCCTATAATCATTCAAGAGACAGGCACGTCAAACAGGGACTCGACACCTTTCCGACTGGATGAATGAAGGTGGAAGACTACACATTCAATGTGGTACCACAGAAGGGACTGTGAAAGAAAGTAGGGAGAGAGGGTTACCAAAAGCAGGGGACTTATTTCAGGGTATTTTCAGATATTAACGATTTTGCCCTCACAAGAATATCAAAGTTTCTCGGCACGCAAGCTTCCATACCTTTACCTGATATTAAAGCAAAAAGATGTAAAATCTACATGAAATAAAGAATGGCCCTTAAAAAAATGGGACAACATAAACATTTATCTCATTTAGAAATAAAATCTGTTAAGTCTCATTGAACAACTTTTGTGCCCTATATAAAACTCAGTACATCTTAGCAATTAATTACTGTCCTACAATAAAGCACTTGAATACTAAATTATAGGGTCACCCAAGTCTAACTAGTTCTTGAGACTACTGACATAAATAAACTCACAGTATTTCCTTCAATTGCCTAGGATATGTACATATAACACACTTAATTCCTTTTTAATTAAGGCGTCAACTATTAGCAGAGTGCTAAAAAATGTGCATATAAATAAGCACATAAAAAAGTCAACCTGATGGCAAATTCCAGTAATTATCACATGTAATTATTTTGGTTAATGTTTACTTTGGCCATTACTATTGGGGTCACTAAAAGTAAATCTAAACTTAGTGAGTATACATGCATGTTATCACCCTACCTAAGCACTTAAGAATTTCTTGGTGAGAAGCATAAGACAATGAAAGTTTAAGCTACAACTTTCATTTGTTCTCTGAAATTCCAAATACTCTAAAAGTACACTCAGGCTGAACTTTAAAAGTGGTTCTCTTTTATAATCTTTTTACTTTAACTACTGGGTCACTGATTTAACAACTGTTGAATAAGTAAACAGTTCATCGCAAAGTGGATTTCTCACTAACACCAAAGCTAACTATGCTAATATCCCTGGAAGTCACTGAGAATGCTAACAAGCTGTGTGCTTCCCCAAAAGTGGGTGTTAGTTCAACTGCAACTTTGTCAGTTTGAAAGCCTAAGAAAATATATTAATGTAAATTAAGTAATGGTTCAAAAAGCCAGTAACTAAAAATAAATAAAAAGAACTTCAGATTAACACCAAAGTAAGAAGTAATGTTTCTCATACTCTTACATCACACAGAGATTCCAAAAGTGTGCCTTCATAGTAAAAAGCTTCCTTCGGTCAGTGAGACCCCCAGAGGCCGTGGCTGACTACACCAGCATCTTTTGCTGCGGGGTCTAATGCAGCGGCTCAATCAGGAGCGTGTCAGATGCCCCTGGCAGTGTCTGAAGGCGACTTTTTCAACCAGGAGGGACTCCGGTGCCTGGTCTCCAGGTGCTTCCCAAGCCCCTCCTGGGAACTGCTGTGTACACTTTCTACCTGAGTAACAATGACGCCCCCTACAAAGAAGGAACCACTGCGATGGAGCTCGGGAGAATGGGGCCAAAGTTGTGCCTTCCCACTTCAAACTGCAGTTTCACACTGTCCCAAAGCAGAGGCCATGAGCCTGGGGGTCAGGGACCTGTGGGGAGTTCCAGCGCCAGAAGCTATGAGGAAAAACCTCTGGCTGATCCAAAGTCAAGTATCATGACAGAACGAGATTTCTCTACCTGCCACTGACAGCCCAGGAAGTGGACTAAATACAAACCAGTCTACAAAATGCTCAGTGTCCTGAAGGGAGTTACAGCAAGAGAAAATGTCAGAAAGGCCGGCAGACAGATGTCCAGGCGCTGAACAAGCAGGTGTCGACAGGGGCTGAGGCAGCACCACCCCCAGGACAGAAGCCCCCCAACGCCCCTCTCAGGGTACAGGGCTGAGGAGGGCAACAAGACGCAGAGTTTCAGAGAGAGAGCTAGGGGCCAGCGAGGCCGAACGAGGACAGAGGACCCTTGTTATCCCACCGCGCTCCGGTGACGTCTATGTGTTGTGTCCCACCTTTCCAGGCGGTAATTTCACCCCATGTAACCAATTTTTCCTACCTCTATGAGGGGTGTGGGGGTGTCCGAACTCACCACCTATCGTAGACAGCCCAGACAGGAGAAATAGGAGAAGGTCTGAGAGGGCTTCCCATTTCGTACAGACAGTGCTGACCTGCCTGTAGGCCGCTGCTCTCCCGGGAAGGAGGAGGCCAAGTGCTTTCTGGTCTTCGCTGAACTAGTGAATAATGGCTGTGCTAGCCATCAGCATACGCTGTGTTTTGAAAGTTTTATCCAAAACTTGGGAAGCTGGTTATCTGGACTAATCCCCTCCCTCCTCCCGCCAGCCACCATACAGCTCACTCGTGTTAAGTACACAAGGATACTGATACTCTTTACATCTCATTTCCTAGTTAATTATTTGCAGTTCTCAAACACCTAATGGGATGGTGACTAAAATGACTCTGGCTAGCCATAGTGTTTGAATGCTTAATCTACAAAGTCTGTTGAAGAGTAGGAAAACTGAAAAACAATGTATATGCATATTCAAGATGTGAACACATTAATGTTCCTGCCATTGTCAGAACAGCAACGCACCAGCAGCATACATAAGACTACAAATAATGTGCTTTAGGCCAAGAGCTCCGTATTCTCCATACCATTTCTGCAGGTAGTCCAGTGCCTCCAAACGAGCACCAATCTCGAAAGTGATTCCGGGACGATTTGGGGGCTTTTTACTCATCTTGAGATCCTATTCTTCAGTATTCTCTTTTCACTACCTCAAGAAGAAAAAAAAAGTTGGATTCTGATGCATAAAATGTGTAACAAATTAAACAAAAATTTTAAAACATTACAAGAGAAATTAAAATAACTGCCAGACTTTTAAGAAATTTGAATGATGATTATCAATATCTCTAGGTGACATACTGTGCAACTTACAGGCATTAAAAAGATTAACTACTTAAAAACAAACAGATCGGCCTTAAAACTAGCTAATGGCTACAGTGCTTTAAATTTTACTTGGAAAATACCCCAAAAAACTCTCCACAAAAACAAGAGAAAGTGCTTTTCCGTCTCTGAAACATCAGATGGCTGAGCACCCTGGAATATAAGTACTGAAATTCTTAAGAGAATAAATTAACCAAATTTTTCAGCGGATATTTACTGAGTGTCTTTTAATACAAAAAACTTTTGGTAAGACACTGAAGCACGCGTGGAGATGGGAGAGGCAGCAGACACTCCTCTGCCATCAAAGACTTTAATAACTCCTTTTGTGATTAGGGCTTTTCATTACTTATGATTTCCCACCTCAGTAGCAAAGAACTCAATAACTTTAACCTAACATAAAGCTGCAATTTCTTTCTTATACTTCACATTCAATAAGCCACAATGATGGGGATTCTTTTTTTTTTTTTTGATCTGAGAATTTCTGCAATACCTCGGGATAGAGGGTGACGGTGGTTACAACACTCAAACAAGAAAACTACAAAGCTGTGTCTCTTCCTCTCCAGAGCACCATGTGGAGTATTTATTATCCTTTTGGCCACGCAAGCCACCCAGCACATTTGAGGTAGCCTCTTTTTCCCTACGTGCCTAGTGCCTCGATAATATGAATGCGTGCATTTTAAGACAGCTTTATCAAAATATAACAGGTAATCAGGAGTGCAAAGGGATCCCTAAAACCTCTGACACTGACCATTATTAAAATGACAATGCTCCCTCCCAGTTTAACAAGAACCACACACACATTTGTTTTTAATGGTCTGGCCAAAATTCAAAAGGGGCAAAATCTAACAAACACATAAAAACCAACCATCCTTTACTCTTTGAAAAAACCTGGGAGGTAAGGAGGAGAAAAATAACACCAATATTTGCCATAAACATATGTAAAATCAAACTTAAGTCCTCTTGGTTGGGGGAAACTACCCTTCTACCCCAGGCAGCAAGCAAAGCTTAGTGCATTCAAGTTAACAGGAGTTTGGCCAGAGGTTATTTGGTGTAAAAGGAACAAAAATTTGAATATTTTTAATAGAGGTCTGGTCAGTTTGCAACATATAAGGCAGTTACTTAAATGCCTGGGTCGCAATCTAATCAATCTTTCTGCTGTTCATCACAGCAAGAACTTACTAAGGGGTTCATTAACGTTTTCTAGACTCAGACTTAACATCCCTAAGAATTAACACAGTTAAGGTTTATCATTCCCTAATGGTACTTTGGTGTGAGTAAACAGAAAAGGCTAGATTTCCCTGTTCTTGGGTGGAGAGGGGAGGGTGAGGAGGGATTTGAATTAAGGAAAAGTAAAACAGTGTGTGGGGGGAGGGTGCTTGGAGCAAAAAGAGAAAAGGGGACAGAGAGAACATAGAGGAGTAAAAGCAGGAAGAAAAGCGAAAACTAGCGGGAGAAAAGGATGGTTTGAGTTGTGAGAGATGACAACTGAGTGGGAAGAGAAAATGAGCAAGAAGATGCTACCCTGGGAAAGTGAAGCACTGGTCAGAGAATGGCCGCGGAGCCAAAAAAAAAAAAAAAAAAGGTGGGGAGCGACGCAGGGCGGGAGGAGGGTGCCAGGAGACAGGCAGGAAAGGCTTAGACGGGGCTGGCGGGGAGCAGGAGACGCCTCCAGGTTTGACAGCCGTCCGGCCCTCTGCAGGGGGGGAAGGAAGGGAGGGGTGAGGGAGCGGTGGCGCTCAGACAATAGGGGCGGCGAGTTCTGGGGAGGGACGCGGGAGGGGAGCGGGCCGGAGAGAGACACCAGCGTCGGGGAGTCCCGGGCGGGTGGCCAGGTGGGGCCGGGCGGCCGCCAAGCCAAGCTGCCACCGCCTCTTACCGACTCGGCCTCCTGTCCGCACAGCAGTCGGGCCGTCCGGGGCCGAGCCGGGGCACGAGCAGGGCGGCCAGCCCGGGCCTCCGCCACGGCTTCCAACTCCGCCTCCGCCCAGGCAGCGCCGGGGAGGGAGCAGGAGCGGATCAAACTGGGACCTCTGAGACGGGTCGGGCCTCGGAGCGCGCGGGAGGGAGCAGGTTCGAACCCTCAAGCCCGCTCGGTGTCCGCTGCCATCGCCGCCGCTGCTACCGCCGGCCAGCCCAGACGCGACGCCGGTCCCCGGCGACGTCAGCCGCCCGCGACGCGCCGGAAGCGGGCCTGGGAGCGCCTGTGACTCACGTGGGTTGGGCCCGGGACGCGCAGCCGATTGGAGGAGCGTTCTGGGAGGCGGGGTTTGCAGCGGTTGGCTGACAGCTAGCGGGCGGGGCCGTAGTTAGCGATTGACGGGAGGAGAGCTTGGGGAGCCCTTCGGCAGTAGCGAAGTGTTTGACCTTTGATAGATCTGGACGAAGCCTGTTGAATACAATTAGTGTGCGTTTGACGGAAACTAGGTTCTCACAACTTTTCAACCCCAGCACCTTCAACAAACTTATGTAAACTCATTACACGCTTTCTTAGATGTCCAGCCCTTTCCACATTAAAAATAGAGCAAGTGGTTATTGTTACAAAGTCAATAAGCCTCTATTCAATGAATACCTTGTGGCAAGCTCTCTGCTGTAAGTGCGCCACATAACGACAATCACACAATTGTCTAGGAGATCCTTACAATGCTAAAGAGAGATACAATATTACTTAAAATGTATGTGTGACTTCCCCAATACTACACAGCTAATGATAGCAGAACTATTTTTATTGAATACCTACCATGTCCCGAACTGTGCACTAGGCACAAAAGAAAGTGTCCCCGCTATAGAGGAGACCAACAAATGAACACATTCAAAGCCGTGTTGGAATGAAGCGTCTTTTCTTCTCTCTTCCCAGTGTACTACTCAAGCTCTCAAGCTTTCTAAACGCAACATTGCATACAAATAACACTTATATTTATCATGCTTTGCAGTGTGGAGTTAAAATAGCAAAGCATGTCTCGTTAAGCTTCAATTACAGTGAATTTTGAAAAGTTAAACAACCATATTCACATCCTTTTATTCAACAGACATTCACTCATTGCTATGTTACCAATAGCTACTGAGCTGGACTGAGCATGGGAATATATAGAAAAGGCACATAAGACAGTCTCTAGTGGACATTTGTCCTCATGTATTTTGGTTGCCCAGCATCTGAACTCCCTTTCCATGTTTAAGAAATTGCACATCATAGTTACACCATGTATTTCCGGAATCTTCTGGAAATGCAGCAGGATTATACTTTCTACCCTCAGAATTATGTGTACCCATGTAATGTGCCCAGAACCAACTGCTAATCTATACCTGATATATAGTATAAAAAATAAATATTTGTTGTTTTAAACTATTGAGAGTTGGGTGGTTGTATGTTACACAACATAAGTTGAGCCAATTAACTGACAGATACACCCGCCCTATGACATAGTCTTGAAGGCAGAGTCAACCTCGCACTAAATAATATAAAAGTGTTAGCAACTTCCATTTCCAGCCTCCATTGCAGCTAAAGGGCTGTTTTTAGCCAGGCTAAATACTCTCTAACTGAGGACTGTGTATAAGATGCTGCTAGTGATGTTCAAAGGAAGGAAAGCTTCCTCCCACAGCTCAGCAGTCCAGTGGTCAATATCTGACTTTCAACCTTTAGCTAACTAACTGAACCCTGGCGGCATCCCTGCTGACCCACAAATCAGTAAGTGAGAAAAAATAACTATCTGTTGTTGTGCATCACTGAAAAGTTAAGGTTGTTTGCAATTTAAATAAAATACAGACATAAAGGGTACATAGATTCTATCCACTAGCCACTGTTTTTTTTTTTGAGAATCCACCAAACTACCCTGAAAAACAGATTGTTTCATTTAAATTGGAACTTAACAAGGAAACTCTCCAACAATTCAGCTTGAAAAAAAATGGAAATCATTATGTAAATGATTCCTGGCTTGGGTGTTCTCTATGTATAGGTGTGTTCTCTGTGGAGTTAATGCCATCCCCTTAGAGGACACTTTGAGAATGGGGATGTGTGTATTTTTAGTTGTCACATGATTGGGGGAAGGCACAGCTGCAGGTTAGTAATGAAGGCCCAGGACTGCTAGACGTGCTGAAATGCATAATGCCTCCTGTATCTTTAAGAATTACCCCAGCCCATACACAACTTCTGAATGCCCCTCTGGACATGCATGTAGAAAAACCTGTTTATAATGGAGAAATAGGTAGAAAAACCTGTTTATAATGTCCTGAGCCCAGAACTCAGTTTTACGTGTAAGAACAAAGTATCTTTGCAAGATTTTAATATACACTCGGTTTTCCAGGAAAAGCTTCTGTGGAATGAGGGAAGATTGTCCTTTTTATGAACATTACCAAGAGTTTGTCCCATTTTTAAAGATCACGTCACCAATGGCAAAGCTACTCACAGCATTCGAGGCACTAACAGGAGGGGCCTGGATTGCTCTGCATTTGTAGCTGTTACGTTCGGGGTCAACCTCAATTTCGATTCAAGCGCTCGGCCCCTTTATTATGTCTCTATGAATCATGACCGGACACTTATGAATTGAAATATGTTATTTTTATTATGAATCATTTCCATAAAGTTTGTTCATGTATTACATTATGTCATTTTATTAATGTTTAGGAAGATTGACATGCACACATTAATGATATCATGTATGAATTTAATTTCAGAAAAGCGCAGAGGGTGTCCCATAATATTAACTCCAAAGTGGGGACATTAAGTGTCATGAAACTGGTTAGCTCATGTAGGCTACCGTTGCCTCTGTAGATCATGCAGAGTCAAAGGTCAGGTTCAGGATCAGGTTACCAGATACAGAAAAGTCTAAAGATGATGCCCCAACCACGCAGTGAAACTGTGCATTGCTGCGGCCCCTCCCCTCTCCCACCCGCACGCCCCCATCCAGATGGTTAATGTTATCCATCAGTCGCTCCATCTCTGAATATAGAAAGAAAGAACTTACAGCTGTGTTTGAGCAGAACCAAACAAGCAGTTTGGGCAAATTATCTGGAAACAACAGTCCTTAGGCAGAAATCACTGAACTAAAGTCCTCCAACATTAAAATATGAAAATGGAACCATAATATCTCCTGGAATATTTAACAATAGTATACACCTACTTTAAGGGAGGAAAAAGTCACAACTAAACACCCAATATCCCCTGATTACATAGAAAACACAAGAAAGCTATTTTTTGTGTGTTGCTTTAATATTTATAATTACCACCAATGAAGCAAATCAAAGCAATTCAAAGGTTTTTTAAAAATAAACTAGTTTAGTCAAAATGTAAACTGCTGTACTAGACAACTTTGGCACATGGCTCAATTCCAGGTGCTTAAAGTCTGTGGATATGGTCCTACTCACACGCTCTATTTCCCATTGGTTTCTGGGTTTTTGCCCTGCCTTCCTGGAGTGAGTAAATTCTAAGGACGAGGGGACGGCCTAGACACCTTTATTGTATTCATTTATTTTTTACTGGTAGTTCATATACTAATCAGAAGCTATCGGAGACTTGAAGAATTTTAGACTTGGCAGTAATGCTTTTAAGATGTCAGTCTCCACTAACGAAAGTCATTACACATATATATGGATCAGCAAAAGCTTGTAAATATAGCAAGAGGCCTGAATGATGAAAAACTTCTTCTTTTTTTTTCTTTGTGCAGATTGCCCTGAAGCAATGGGCTGACCATGAAATGTCTCATCCAAGCCTGGACACTTTTAAGGGTGGAAGGAAGTGCTATTAATGATTACTCCAGAACAGGTGGATTCCTGGGCAGCCCTGAGCAAACCGAGACATATGACCATGCTGCCTAACCCAGGATGAAATATGAAAGAGAAATCGGGTAAAGATTTCTCTCCCCTAAATGGGAAGGGATTGACTATGGAATCCACTCCTGACTCTGCAGTTGCTTTTCCCCCTTGCCTACCGAGACCAAGCGTGGGCTCGTTCAGGTATTCGGCTGATACTTCTTATCTCCTCTGATTTTCATGGTTGACTGTTACAATGTCCATGAACTCTATCAGTGTTTCTCATGTGTCCATCCACCAATCATCTGTATTAGACCTCCTGGGGCTGTTTGTTAAAATGCGAGTTTCTGGGCCCTAACCTGTATCTTGGGTTTGGAGACTGGAAATCTGCATTTTAAAAGCAGCCCTAAATGATTATTATGTACAGGAAGGTTTTGAAACATCTGCTAGGAGTCTTCTAGTTGCATGTGACTGGAATTCAATGCAAGCAGACTTAAGCATAAATGGAATTTATTTATGGAAGGAAGATGGGAAAGGGGAGAAGTCTGACTTCTGGGGCAGGGTTCAAATTATAACACCTTTCCCTCTGCTTTGTATGGTCTGGCTTGATTTCTGGGTCCTCATCTGGGCCCACAACACCTTTAGCCTTGTCGTTACACAGACTTATAAAATAAAAACAAGTCCTAAAAGTCATTCTCTCATTGGCCTAAGCTGAGTCAGGTGCCCATCTCTGAACCAAGCATGGTGGCCACAGGAGCAACTTGTACTAATTTATCCTGGACCTGAGTCCAGTTCCCGATTAGGCAGGTAGAAGTCAAGACTGGCCCTCATGGGCTGACACATGGGATGAGTTGGTCCTTTAAAGAAAATTGGGGTGCTGTTAGTTGAAAGAAAGAGAATGGAAGCTGGACAACAAAAATGAGATTCATTATAACCGATTTATACCAACTCCAAGTCACAATTCACAGCCATCCAACAAAGCGAAGAATACTCCTCTTGGTGTGCAAAGCTAGAAAGGCAAACCAAATGAGACACAAATCTAGGGAGAGATTGACTTAATATTTACATCCCTGATTCCTTCAGTGCTTGCTTTTAGAGGTAGTCCCTACAATGTGGGGACACATTGCAGGGATTGTTAAAACTGGGGGAGGAGAGGGTAGGCAACAGAACTCAACCTGTGTACAAATTAACAGTGACCAAATAGTCAACACCTTTAACCTTTCAGTGATCACGATTCTCCTTGACAATGAAGCTAGCTGCAGTTCAGTGGCATCCTCAAAGATGGCAGACAGCATGCCTGCATGCGTTCTTCCTTCGTTTGCTTGTTGATTTATTCAACAAACTTACATTGAGGTTCTACCTAATGCTAGAAAATGGGTGATGCAGAAAGAACAGAAAGAAAAATCTAACTAGGTACCCAATTCTGAGGTGACTCGCCATGACGGGGAGGCAGGTACAGAAACAAGCAAGTACAATAGAAAACTAGATGTTAATCAATGTGAAATAGAGACAATGCACCATAGGAGTGTGCTCATTCTGACTCAGCAAATCGAGGAAGACCACGCAAAGGAAGTGGTGTTGGAAATACCTTTTGAATGGTGAGTACACTTCAAATAAGATTTCTATGCAGACTCCAAAAATCTCATTGCCCTGTAGTTCCTTAGAGTTGTGATTCAAGCTCTGACAAATAAAAAAACATCATCCTACTTCCATTTCTTTCCCACAAGCCTTCATTGAACACCTGCCAGCTATAGTGCTTAGGTCTAAGGAACACAACAATGACTAAACTCAATTCCTGATCATAAGGCACTTAGCAGTGTAGTCAAGGAGACCAACATATCAAGGGTGATTTCAATACAGTATAAGTATCAGAAATCAAAGTTGTAAGTAGCATGCAGGGTGAACGGGGTTGGAATATGTGCTCTCACTGGTCACTTGCAATTTGGCTCAGTGTCTGTCCTCTTGATCAGCGCCAGAAAACAACACCAGCATCTCCAAGGTACGTGCCTGACATTCAGATGAAACAAGTGCCCTTGTGGGGGAGGGAAGAGGGTTGGCCAGGGGCAGAGGCTGTGGTAGCACTGGTGTTGCCACAGCCCTTGGTTTTGCCATAGTAGAAAACATTGAGGCAACACTCTGTGGTTGGGGAATGGCTTGCTTCCTCTTTTGTATTTTTGCAAAACATTCAACAGAGCCAGTTTCATCAGGCTGAGGGTAAACGCCCTTTGATTTTTCACTCTTTCTTTCTTTCTTTCTTTCTTTCTTTCTTTCTTTCTTTCTTTCTTTCTTTCTTTCTTAGCAATAAGTATCATGAAGATCACAGGAGACTGTAGATTTGAAGGAAATCAAGAGGTTAACTTTCTTCTTGCTACTGTTATTAAACAGCAGCTTAAAATAAGAACGCACATCAGGGCCAGTGGTCCGAAGTAGGACCAGGAGTTGCAAATCAGACCTGATGCTGTCACCAGAGTGGTCGGGGTAGAGACACTTCCTTCCCTGATGCTCCCTTCCTCACAGGTATGTGGGAACTTTAAACCCACTTCACAGAGTTGTTTCGAGGATCCAATTAAATAGAACAAGCCTCACATTCTGGGCACATTGTAATTGATATGTAAATGCCAGGTGGTCGCAACCTTCCTCTCCCACCCTCCCCAGGGGTCTGTGTATCTAGTCAGGGTCATCTCTGAGGGTCATCCCAGTTTCTCTCTTTCCTGATTCCACAAAAACACATTTTCTGGGGACTTACTTTGTGCCAAGCCCTGAATTTGCTCCTGAAGATTACAGAGATGAATGAGACACTGTTCTTGTCACCAAGAATGTAACTTCTATTAAAACTGTAGCACAGGCTTCTCACTAGATAATCAGTCCCTCTCAAGCCTCCTCCACCCCACCCTTCCTTTCTCTGTCTCTCTCCCCCTCTCCTTCTCTCGCTCTCTTTAGGAAAAAATATTCCCCCTGAAATTCAAATATGAGTCCTGAGCAAACAGTAAGGATGTATCTGGAACATCTTTGAGAGACTGGAATCCTTCCTGTTGCAAGAAATACTGTATAAATCCTTACAAGACGCATTAGCAACAACAGAAAAAGAGCTGGAGCTCATCAATGATAACAAAATCGAATCTAAAGGCAAATGATGGAAGTACTGCAGTGAATCTGTGTGGAAATCGCGGATCTTAAGAATCAAACAGAACCCTTTAGAGATCTTATTCTCGTCTTGCCCGCTGAACGTGAGAGACTCCAGTGCCATTACAAGGCAGCTCAAGTGGACCGGTTTCAATAAACCCCTATCGATCCTGGCTTACCATTTCTCTGACTTCTTTGTCTTTTCTTAGTACACCACTTAAAATGGAAATACTACTTTCTCCAAATATTCATGCAGTTATTCCTACCCTCACACTACCTGTACACAACATAACCCCCAGTGCCATTCTGATCTTACAATCTGGCCACAACTTGTATTGCCAACATAATGTACTTGTCATAAAACCAAACAGTTTGAAAATTGCTCCAAGGCCGTGCCCATGAATTACTCATATAACACGTGACGAATACCCAAGGAGTGGGTAATCCCGCTACCAGAGAGAGACGTATGTTTCTCCAAAATGTAGGTATGAATACTGGCCCAGACAGCTGATTGGAATAGAACAGACAAAAAGTTGTTGACTGTTTATGTACAGCCAGAGACATGCTGGCTTGGTAGCAAAGAAATTGTGACAATTCGAGGCTTCGAAGAACTTCTCCACTTTCCAATGTCTAGGAACAGATGGTAGTCTGAGAGCTGTGGGCACAGGCAGAGCAGAGGGCCTCGAAGAAGTCAGAAGGAGTTTCCCCTCCTACTCTGGAAGGATGAGAAATAAAGGAGTGGGAGGAACAGGAAGAGGATGAGCAGGAGGAGAGCTATGAACAACAAGGTGAAGCATCCCGGGCTCCCAGAACAGCTGCAGAGCAGGATGGCTATCTGGTAATCCTGGGCGGCTGCAACTAGACGCAGTGTTGAATAAATGTGCCTGTTCTCTAATGATGGCCCTGAGTGAGGCAGCAGAGACACGCTGACCACGTAGCCTGGAGTAGCCAATGGCTCAGAAGGTCACCTTTATTAGGACTATATGTTACTAGTTGTCTATTGTTGTATAGAAGGTTCCCCCAAAACTTGGTGTCTTGAAACACCATTTATGCTCACACAGTGTCAGTGGGTCAGGAGTCTGGGCAATGCTAAATGGGCTCTTCTGCTTCTGGGTGTCTCTTGGGCTGTGATCAGAGTGTTAGTTCGGGCTCAGCTGGAGGCGGTTCCCTTCCAGGCTCTCTCCCCCGGTGATGGTCGGCTGCAATGCTAAGGGCCTCAGTTCCTCGGACAACCATCAGATCTCTGCCATGTGGGTTTCTCCGACCATCAGGCTGTGCAAACCGAGAGGGTAACAGAGGTCCCAGCACGACAGAAGGTACAGCATTTTGTGGCCTAATCGTGGTCAGTCACAACCTGGCACTTTTGTCTCATTCAGTGTATTAAGAAGTCAGTTTCGGCCCACCCTGGGGGGGGGGGCGGGGCGGGATTACAGGAGAATCCTTGAGGGTCAGCTTTGAAAGCTGCCTACCGCAGGCAGGCGAGGCAAGCTCTCCTAACAGCTTGCGCTGTCTGGGGTGGGTTCTAGAGAAGATCCTGCCTGTGGTGTTATCTGAAGGAAAAGGGGAACCCCAAGAAAAAATGGGATTAACTTTTCTGCCAGCCTGACCGACGGGGGCCTCCGAAGCTGGTTTACAGAAAGAAACACATCTCACACATCTGAGCCGAGGACTCCCTTATTTCTCATTTTTTGCTCTCATTTCATTCTTTAAGCCATCCTTGGAAATATACTAACATGTCATCACACTGGTCATGGAGAAAACTGCAGCCCAGACGGGTGAGGCGGCCAATCTGCGCACACGCCTCTGGGACGGAGGGGAGAGTTTGGACCTCACTCTGTGTGACTCCGAAACCCACCCTCTTCCCGTGACTCCACACGCCTCAGTGGGGCTCGAACATGTGTTTCTGTGATCACTTACAACAGCAGAGATCCCTGGGCACCCATCAAGTTCGCTGAGTTCTGCTATAATGTAAATAGTAAAATGTGAACTGCCACCCATGGGTAGCTTCCTGTAAAACCCAGGCTTGGGTGGGTCAGCATAGTTCCGGGGCAGACATCTCCCAAGGTCAAGCTCCTGGTATTCAATTGCGTTGTGCATTGAATAGCATGGGTGCATTATCACTGATCTGAACAAAGCTCTGCTATGCGCTGTTGATACTGAAAATGGCCAGAAGATGCTCAGCGGGATGCGGGGCTTCTCTGAGTTCCTCTCCTGCTTTCGCAGCTAGGGGTGCCGAGTGAGCCCAGAAAAGCATCTCCTGGTGACCACGGTGTAGCCAGCTGGCCTGACTCAGGTCGCACTTTCCCCTCCCCCCCCACACCGCTGCTGGTCCAGGAGAGATGATCTCGAGTCTTCACCGGGCTCCTCAGCGTGAATGTCACTGATGCGAGCCCCACAGGAAGCGTGACCTCATTCTGCCGCTCAGCCTCTGGTTTCACAGGCTGTTTTTGAAAGGAAACGAGAGCGGTTTGAAAGCTGACTTTCCCAAGAGCTGTGCGCTCTTCTATTCTAGGAAACAACCAAAAGAACAAGAGACGGCTGAAGACAGAGCTTCTCTGCAAACGCCCTCGCGGCAGCCTGTGCGGCATCTCTGGGAAGGAGGGCAAGATGGGATCTCCCATTATTGGGAGATGTCCGCACCTGTTGACATTCTGACGTTGTTTTCAGCTGAAGAACTGCTAAATCCTGGATTTCTGCACTGACTGTCAGACTCAAGAAGCTTCGTATTTCAGTAACTATTTTATTATCTATCAGTTGGAAGGAAGACTGGGAACTCCCTTTGGAAAGAACAAGTACGGGCAAATTATTTTTCAAAACAGATTTGTTGCTTAGAGAGGATCTGTTTCTTGAAAAGTTTTAGAGCTGTAACGGAAGTCTTTTTCAGTGTAGCTAATACTCAGCTAACTGTTCGTGTGGCACCTGTAGCTTGCTACACCTACTAGTGAGCCACAGCCAGGGGACCTTGCCTCCCGCCTCGGGACTCGTTAGCTTCAAATTAAACTTAATGCTTGGGGAAAGCTAACAATGGGTAATTTGGGCTGGACATGTTCATAGTATATTGATCAAAACCCAAAAGGACAAATTATATACTATTACATTACAGTGAAACAAAATTATTTTATATTCCAGACAAATGAAATCTATGAATATGTGAATCAAATGCTTTGATTTAGAGATCAGCCAAGGAATGCCAGAAAGGTCTCCTGACTTACCTAGAGGTGTGTGTAAGCCAGGATCAACATTTTCTTTTCTTTTTATTTTAATTGTTGTTCAAGTACAGTTTTCTGTCTTTGACTCCCACCCCAGCCCACCCACCCAGCCCTCCCCCCATTCCCACCCCCCCCAGTTTTTGTCCATGTGTCTTTTATACTTGTTCCTGTAAACCCTTCCCCTTTCCCCCTGAAATTCCCTCCCTTTTCCCCAGGATCAACATTTTCAAACAGGTTTTGTGTATAACTTATTGGAAGAATCGATCTAGAGCTATGGAATTATCCTGGTTTAATTTCATGTATCACAGTGACAAAAACAATGCATTACTAGCTATCACATTTTAAAAATGTGGATAGAGGTGGGGAATCAGAAAAGCCTCTAGTCCTACCTTATAAAGCTGTTAGGATAGTGATCGCTACAAGTTTAATAACTTTCAGAAGGCAGACCTCTGTGATGAGTGGTGAATGATCCTAGTTTACATCATTTGCACATTCAAATGCGCGTTTCATTTGTAATTGAGAATGTAACTAATACGTGCGTGGGAACTGAGTTTTGAAATCTGCCCAGTGGCGTGTTGTTTTTTGTGCAATGCCGCTCAGGAATGGGCATTCCTGAGAACCAGCTGATAACAAGTACTGCACCGAAGGCCGCTGGCCCTTTCTGTGACCGCCTGTCAAAGGTTCAAGGTGCTGGACAAGAGACAGGCGCCAGTCCCAAGCATTATTTGAAGCTGGATAATGAAGTGGATGTGTTTCAAATGATGAAACTATACGTAAGTTTGTTTAGAGGGCTCTCGAATAGATCTTTTTTTTTTTTCAGATTTCTTCATCGATGAACTTATTTTTATTATTTTATTTTGATTGTAAGTCAACCTTTGCAAGTCTAGCTTTCCCAAAGAATATGTTGATCTTATTTACAGCAAAAAATTACTTAGATGCACAGAGCCAGACGGTGGAGAATGTAATACAAAATCGTAGAGGCAGGCCCAGCCTCAGGGGCCCTTCAATCTGGTCCCCAGCCTTCCCTCCTATATCTCCGAATTATTACAGCACAGGGATCTGACTGGTGCAATTAGTAGATGCCATCTGTTTTGGCATCACTTTTCTATTTTTAATGTGTAATCCACCTTTTTTTTTAACATCTTTTGCAGAAAAATCTGTGAAGTTTGAACCAGCAGCTTTCCCGAAATGTACCGAATATCTCAACTGATGTCAACACCAGTGGCAAGTAAATGTGGGCGGATTGCTGTACGCAATTATCTTCTGAATGATTAGACTCCTTTTAGCAATTTCCTCGCTTTGATTTTGCTGATACTCATACCATTAACCATCTGTCAGAAGCTTGTGCTTCTTAAATGCCAGTGTTCACTTTGGCAATGATCTTGGCTTCATTTCTTTCCTTGAGAGAAATGTGGTATTTTTCCTTTTACTAGAAAAAAAAAGCAGTTTTTTTTAGATGCCTGTGCACAAAAGTGAAAGGAGATTGTTTATCAGCTACTATTAAGATGCAAAACTGTTTGTCTATAAAAAAAATACTAAATGATTTTGATAACTCCTTGCAGAAAATAGGGTGTAACTTGTTGAAACGGTAGTGGTTTCGAGTTTCTTCCTTCCTCTTCTCATTTTCTTCTCCAACCCTGCTTCTGCCCACCCCCCTCACACACCTACTATTTTCTCCGTATAAATCAACCAGCCCAGGCTGAATGTCTAAACTCCTTCCTTTACTTAGATATTGTCAGTGATGGAATCAAGTCTCACTGAGCCTGTCTAGTAGAAGCATGCATACCATTTCTGTATAATATAAAATTCTGTTTCAGAGTTTAGAATATTAATTGACTACAACTTTCCCCAACTGAGATCTGTTGCCACACTTTGGGTTAAACTGGAATGACTAGGTGGATTGTTTTGTTTCTTAACTAAGAATACCCACAGGCTTCATACATTAGAAAATCATTCATATAAAACAAAACTTTACTTTTTTCCCTCCACGACTGCCTTTTGCTCATTACTTTACAATAGAAGTGCCTTAAAATACACGAATCAGAGAGATTCTGATCAGAAGACTGAAGTCCTCAAAGTACTGAGTTAAGCTAAAATAATCTGGGCAATTGATTTGGGTTTTCTATAGCTTCACACAAGATGTTGTTTCCTCCTTGTCATGAATCAGTTTGATGCTAATGACTTATTATTGCCTCATCCTGCACCGAGGGACCTTGAAAGGAGTGCTGATCAGGGGAAAAAACAGAGGACAGAAACCCGTAGAATATTCCTGGCTTCCCGTGGAGGCCTGGTGACAGGTTGGGTCAGTGCTGACTTGCTGGATGGCCACGCCAGTCAGAGTCTCTGCTGAGGCTGGACATCAGCGGTCCACACCTTCCCCACAGCCTCCGCCTTTTGCCCCGTGCATGTGGGGTGAGGGGGACAAATGTCCAGTTCTCTCTCGTTTGCTTTTGCAGGTTCTTCCGAGTCCGACAGAAAATATGCCAGAGAGCTGTCTCCCACGTACATTTTCCCGAGGTATTCCACGAGGCTCTTCCCAAGAGAAAGCAATCAAATTCCTTTCCCACACGCATTATTTTGTTGTCTTCCTGGCGTAAAACCATCAGTTCTAGGGGTTGTCCGGTCAGGGATGGGTATATATTTTCACTCTCATCCACATAGAAAAGGAAGGCTTGTCTAAGCTAATAATGGATTTTGGGGGGAGGGAGGTGTGAACGTGTAGGCAAATGTGAATTGTTTGTTGGTTTCGTGAGTGGCGAAACTACTGAATAACGACATGCGGTTACTTTTTCTCAAATTTACATTCTCTTAAATATGCTTTTTCTGTCTTGCTTTACAAAAGCGACAAGATTTTATACCAGCGCACAAGCTGGCCAAATTTCACGTTCCCCTGAAACATGGAGAGTCTACCATTTCGCTCAGTTTTCTGCACTGAAGTCTCTAGAGCTCCCTTCCTTTCTCCCCCTCCCACCCTGCGGGTCTCTGTCCGTGGTTTACTCCCTGGGCAGGCACCAGCTGGACCGTGCACCGGCGTTGGGGCCTGCCCTTCTCGTCCGTTCTCAGCCTCCTGCCTCTACCCGTGAGCCAGCCCGGGGGGAGCAAACAGGGCCTGTGGAGACGGTACGTCCTTTCGCGTCGGGTGGACCAGGGCGAGGATCTGAGCCCTGCCACTTACCAGCTTGTAAAGTATCCAAGTCGTTTGCCCTTGTCCAGGTCATTTTGTTCCCCTGCTGCACAATGAAGATAATGTGACTTAGGTTTTAGGGAGGTTTGTCCGAACCAGATACAGAATGAAGGATGGGCCAGGCCCACAGTGACTTTTAATACCAAAGGATGCCCATTTAAAATAGTATTAGTAAAGTTAGTGCATGTGTTAATTATGAACAGGCTTTTGAATTTAAAAAGGTATCCGAAATTCAGTAGTGCATGAGGCTGCCTTCCAGTCGTACGGACGAGTGACCATTTTTTCAGACCTAAGACACACACAGGTTCACGTACCTAAACAGGAGACTTCCCCGACACTGGGTCAGGACAGGTAACCGCACGAACATTTGTGTGGTCGACGCAGAGAGGAACTGGCAAAGGCCAAGGCTGGAGGGATCTCGTTGGCTGCAAGCTCACCCTGTGACTCCTATGTGCCAGAGGGCCTTGGAGTTATAACCCATCTATTACTACTATGAACTCCCAACACCCCAGACAGGCTGTTCTGCCCTTTTCCATCAAAAATGGGTCAGTGTCAAGGGTGTAGGTGCACTGCATGTGAAGAAAGGGTGTTTGGAACAGAAAGAAGCCCCAAATGTTCTCTAGTCCGCGCTCCCACAGGTGAGGAGATGAAGCGAAAATTACTGGCGATATCCTTAGCTTCGCCAAAATAACCGCCGTGAACACAAAGAGGCATTTTCCTTCACGGTGACTAGAGATGTGGATGTTGTGTGACTGGGTGTCCTAAACAGAGAATCGAAGGGCTTTCCTTCTTAATCGCTTCACCTTTGTCACCCAGCCCCCCGGCCCCCTTCTGGCAACCATCAGTCTGGACTCTGTGTGTTTCAGTCTGTTTCTGTTTTGTTTGTTCATTTACTCTGTTCTCTAAATTCTACATGTAGACGAAACCCTGGCATTTGTTTTTCTCTGACTGGTTTATTTCCTTCATCATTAAAGCTTCTAAGCCCATCCATGCTTCAAATAACAAGATTTCACTCTTGTTATGGCCGAGTAACATTCCACTGCATACATCTTTGTCCCCTCTTTAGTTTGGCCTGTGACTTCCTGGCTGGTGACAGCTCCTTTGACTGTGGCTCCACGGACCCCCTGACGGGCTCCTACCTTCCCTGTCGCCGAAGTCCCAGGCTCCTCACCAACGGCTACTACATCTGGACAGAAGACAGTGTCCTCTGTGACAGAGACGGCCACATAACTCTGAGCCCGTCCCAGACCAGTGTGACGTACAAGGAGAACTCGGTTAGGTACGCAGAAAACGCTACAGACAGAAAGCAAAAGTCCAACCCATGCGCCAACGCACTCACGCATTCAGTTATCCATTCAACACGAAGCCCAGCGCTGCCCTGGACTGCGGGAGCTCACGGGCTAATCAGGGGCACGTAGAGCCAGCATGGAACAAGCAGAAGCAAGGCACTGATGGGGGGCCAGGGTAGAAGTCCGCACAGGGCGAAGTGAGGGGAGAAGGACGACGGCCACGTTTACCCCAGCGACAGGTTAAGACAAGCTTCCTACTGATGATGGGGACTGATGTGAGTCTTGAGAGAAGGAGGACGTTAATTAGAGTAGACATGGGAAAGGAGACTTCGGAGAGAGTTCCGAGCACCCCTGATATAATTCTGGGAATGGCAAGTAGTTTGGTAGAAATCTAACTCAGGATGAAAAAGGCCAGCCGCCCAAAGACGGGGCTCAGAGCAGGGGCTAGGCAGAGGGGGTCGCACTCCAGGCTAAGGAGTCTGGGATTTATTTCGTAGATGAAGAGGAATGTGCCAAAGTGTCAAATTTCTCCTTAGCAAGATAACACTGAGTACAATTTAGAAGATGGGTTGTGGGGACTGTGGATGTGTGTGAGGAGTCAAAATCTTTCAGGAAATGCACACAGTCACGTCACCCCTACCCGGTCCCCTCGACATACTTCGGTGATCTCCTGTTGTTCGAACTTTAAATGCCAACTCCTTCACGTAACATTCAAGGTTCTTCATTATCAGCCCCCCCACCTTTTTTCACCTTTCTAGCCTCAGTTCCCAGCGTGATCCAATCTGGGACCTACTTGTGCCTCCGGGGGCAGCTGAGGTCACCCTGTGCAGCTCAGAGCCTGGCCGCCTCACAAAACCTCCCTGGACCCCAATGAGCACCGCCCCTCCGTGCTCTTGCAGCCGGTGCTCCCAACTAGCAGCGCCCCCCAGCAGTTCCGTGGGCGCTCCCACCCCCGCCCCAGCACAGTGATAGAGCAGAGGCTGTGGAGCCGGATTGCCCGGGTTTGCTTCTCAGACAAGTTACTCATCCTCTTTGCCCTTCAGTTTCTCAACTGGAAAAATGGGATAAGAATGGGACCTTCTTCACAGGGCCATTCTGGAGATAATGTGAGTTACTGTATGTAAATCACTTGGAAAGACACCAGGCACAGAATACGTTCTATGAAAGCATTAGCTCTGTATCTGCATTTTTCCTTTCTCATACTAAACTGTTTGCACCCAAGGTTTTGTCTTTTGTCTTGCTATCCTTGACATTGACCCACACAGAAACTTAGGAAACGTCTGTGGAATTGATAGAGAGAACAAATAACGTGAGCTTTGAGGACCCAAATTGTAGCGATGTGCTCTGTTCATCAAATCACTTTCACTGGATTCTGTTTTGACCTGAGGTTCATTATCCACCATATGACTTTCATTTCTCTCCAGGATATTTAGAAAGAAAAAGAGAACTCGCCGCTCCTTCTCTTCTCTCTTCAACCTCAGAGCCTCGAAATCCTGGCTGCACGGGAGTATCTTTGGTGATGTCGACTCTTCCCCAGGCGAGGACATCTGGTTGGAGGGAGTCAGCAGGCTGGACATGCAGCATTGCAACGGAAATGGTGAGTCTGCATCTCCTTCTCCACAGTGAAATATTTCCAAACAGGCAGCAGCAACATTTGGTCCTGGGCCAATGTAAGATCCAGACACGACAGTCATTTTGATGGACAGGGTGGACCACGTGCTAAACACTCGTCTAAGTTCTCTCCAGTACTTACATGATGCAAATACATATGTGCTTGTGTCCTGCAAAACAGACTAAAATTTAAATGTGTCAATTAGTAAGTAAAACCTGGGAAATATTTGCACACGTGCAAGGTGCCTTTTCTATGTGGGGTATGGGTGGAAAAAGGATTTTTGGAATCCAAATTCAAGTCCTAGTTTGAGCACATTCTGGTAGTTACTTAACTTGACTAAATCTCAGTTTCTTCATTTTTAAAACAAGATATGTGTGCATAGTGTGATAATATATTTATAGATTATCACATATATCAGTATATATGATACTAATATAAGAAATATCCTGTTAAAATATGCTGGATGTATATATTAGATATCTCATATATGTGTATTATACAATACATATTATTTGATAATATTCTATGTGAATATGTATATATATAATATATAGGTATATAAAACACAGTAGTGGAAACTCAAAGCATATTTCAATATTAAGTGGGACAATAAGCATCAGGGATAGTTCAGTGCATGGTCCCCATAAGTTATCATTGGTTTTTTTTACTAGGAAGGAAGCAATGACTATTCACTGTGCACCTACCATCTGCCAGGCACTGCACTGGGTCTGGAGGTGCAGGGTGAATAGAAACAACGTAACCCTTGTTTCTGGTTTACTGGGTCGGGGAGTGGGGTTCGGGCCTTTGTTAAATAATTGCACAAATACAAAATAATAATTGCGGAAAGTGCCATGAAGAAAAGTCATGTAATGTAATGGGAGATTTGCAACAACACAGAGCACATTTTATTCTACACCCATTCTACAGAAGGGAAGACTAATGCAGATTAGATACCTTTCATGGGGCCCCACACCAGTAAGTAGCATAGCCTGGATTCGAACCCAGGAGTCTCGAGCAGGTGCTCACTGTGCTGCATCCAAGAAAGACCCTTTGGGGACAATTTCTCAGGCAGGGAAGTGGAAGACCATGGCACCACCGGAGAAAAGAATATAAAGAACTGCCTATAGTCAGCCACAAATCGAGGTGAGATACCACCATTTGGGGCAATGTGGAAGGATCTTGAGTTACATGGTAAGTGAAATAAGTCAGATGGAAAAGGACAAGAACCTTACGATTCCACTTGTGTGTAGAATATAAAACAGAAAGCAACAATGAGAAACAAAACAAACAACCTCATGGACACAGACAACAGAACGGTGGTTACCGGAGGGGAAGGAGGGTGGGGGAGGGGGAGGGGGTCAAAGTACATGGTGGGGAAAGGAGACTAGATTCGGGTGCGAGCACACAGTGGACCACACAGGTGCCGTGTTACGAAGTCGTACACCTCAAATGTACGTAATGTTGTTAACCAGTGCTGCCCCAGTAAATTTAATAACAAGAAACGTAGAACTCTGTGTTCAGCCTCATGAAGCTATTAAAAAAAAATGGCTAATGGCGTGCAGCTTAATAACGAGGCTAGTTCCAGTGTTCTGCAGCCTTAAAGACGTCTCGGTAAATAGGCTGAGTTTGGAGTCTTCAATCAGAAGGCTACACGGAGCTAGCTCATCTCACTGGCCGTCAGCATCCCTGGCAGACTGGCACAAATGTGTATGGAAATAAAGAGCGCTCAGTGCTTTTTAACTGAGTTACAATTCACACATTATACAATTTACCATTTTAACGTGTAGAAGCGGGCGATTTTCTAAAATATACTTACAAGGCAGGTTAGGCCGTCAGGACCACTCTCTAATTCAACAACATTTTCATGACCTTGAGAGAAACCCCACTCACAGTGTCAGTGGCTCTCCATCCTCAAGGGCCCCTCCCAGCCCCTGACAGTCATTGGTCCGCTTTCTGTCTCTATGGATTTGCCTGCGTCAGACTCTCACGCCTTTTCAAGCTGCGTCTTCCTCTCTTTGAGACCCTGCAGCAGAAGTGGCTGCTGACATGCAGACCTGTCTTGTGCCTGTGAAAGTCTGCGTTTCCTGGCTCTAGGCTGGCTTTCTTCTTAGCTCCGAAGCCGTATTTCCCAAAGTGTGGGGTGGGGCAGCCAATGCCTCTGGAACCCAGTGGTGAGGAACAGAGTCTCACAGTGAGAGAGCGGCCGGCACTCCTCCGGCAATACTGCCAAAACCAAGGAGGGTCAGTTTGGAGCCTCACTAGCTGTAAGACCCTTGAACTCTGTCTTTTGTTTAAACAATGTTCTTTTAGCAAAGGACAAGCTCAGAGCTTTCTGCTAAAACAGTATTCTGTGCAAATTAAATAAGGTCTCATGTTCATTGTGCTTATTTTTGCATCGATTTTCTCTTTACGGCAGTTAACGGATTGATACAGAGTTTCCTTTAAAGTACAAGACTAAAACGGGACAGTTAGAGGAAAATGGAAAATGGCTAAGGGCAAGCAGGTTCTGGGATGGGGCAAATATTGGGAAAATGATGCTTGGATGACTCGAGCTCGGGATTTTCTATTCGAAAGGCCGTGTTTCAGAGAGATGGAAATTCATGTCTAGTCTTCCCGCAGTTGCCCCTTTAAAATTTTTCCAAACAATTTTAAAGCAATTGGACCACAGCAGAGCTGCACATGCATGAGGTATCTTGTTAAAATTCTCATGGTTTCCAAATATCTTCTAAATATAACAAATCAAACCACCCCCTCCAAAGTCCGTAATTAGTCAACCCAGGCACACGCACGACTTTGAAGCCTCTCGTCTTGGCTGTCAACTATAATCAAGTCTCCCCTGACTCCTTTCCTGAATTTACCCAAGGCCTGCGACTTTGATCAGCAATTTATTTTCCTCTGGAAATGTTGCCTAGTTAGAAGGCTCGAGAATTCAAGATCGTTTTGCTGTTTTCTCTCTAGGCAATGGATGCAATCAAAACTTACTCCCCCCGACTTTCTCCTCATTTTTCAGGCTAAAAAGACTGTTTTCGTTGTTGCCTATTTTGTGGATCCTGAGTCCACCCCTTTTGCAGCTGTGTTGAGACACCTTTCCTTACTGGTGGAGATTCGTTCTTTAGCCAGCTTCCTAGACTCCAGGACTGCCGTTGGGGACCAGTCCCAGAGCCCTGTGGGGATTTGTCCAGAGCCCCGAGAGTCACACTACAAAGGGACACAAGACTCACGCAACGCAGGGAAGACCAGGCAGGGCTAACCACTCTATCTCTGCAGTCCTGGGAAAGAAAGGCAAGATGACCGAGGCCCGCCACCCAGCCTGAGGTCTGCGATGTTCCCCAGAGCTAATGTCTGCCTCTCCATGGATACCTTTGACGGGAACTTCTGTGTGAGGGTTTGTGTCCCCTTCGCTAGTGACAGCAGTGCTCGCCTTCCATAAGAGCACGTGGAGACGTGCTCGGAAGAATCAGACCACCTCTTCAAAACAGGAGTAAACTGCACCAAATCAACCAGGAGACACAGGATGGAACTGGCATCTTCAAATCCAAGGGCCAACTGCTGAAATGTTTCCCACATTGTGATCCTTTCATTTATCATAAAGGGTGGAGAAAAAATTAAATTTCAGTTAGGAACACTGTAAATTGGGGGCAAAAACATGTCTTTTCAGAGAGGAAAAATCCTTGATCGTGTTTTTAATGATAAGATTTTTTTGCGGTTGCCCTCTATAATGCCATCTCTTCTTCCAGAAAAATCTGTGTAGTCTTCCCAGGACTCCACATAGGACACAGCTTTTCAGTTCCTCCCACCGTCAGTGGCAAAGCTCTAAGTTCAGCAGAGCAGGCGGCCTGGGGCAACAGCACGGGGCTATCAGTACCGTTGGCACAGCCTCCCCTCCATCTCTCCAGGCTGGAATGAAGTGCCTCTCGTGAATAATTAACCAGCTGTGGAAGTTCCCAGTTCTTTCTCACATCCACCTTGACTTGACCATGTAGCCTCTTCTCTGTGTGAGACAGCTGTGTTGAGGTATAAGTGATACACGAAGAACTGTTCGTATTTAATGCGTATACTCATCATGCAGTGAGTGTAGACAGATGCGAACACCCACGATCCCATGACCGCACTGAAGGTAACAGACATCCAACACCTCCAGAGCTTCCGTGCGTCCCTTTGTGGTTTGTTTGTTTTGGTTTCTTTGTTTTTTATACGAAGGGCATTTGTCCTAAGATCTACCTTGTTGACACATCTTGAAGTGTATAAAACACCATATTGTTAACAATAGGCAGCACACTGTTCCACAGATCGCTGAGACTTATTCATCCACCAAAACTGAAACTCTGCGCCCTGTCCCCATCCCCCATGGCAACCACCATTCTGCTCTCTGACTCTGTGGAAATGATGATTTCAGGTACCTCCAGTGCTATCTGTCCTCCTCTGACTGGCTAGTTTCACTTAGCATAATGTCCTCCAGGTCCATCCACGCTGTCACAAAGGACAGAACAGTTTTGACGCATTCGCCTACTGATGAACCCTTGGGTTGTCTCCGTGTCCGGGCTGCTGTAAACAGCACTGCAGTGACCAAGGCCCCGGACCTCCTCTGCTGTGCCAGGTGGTCATTCCTGGATGGTCTGCACAGTTTCTTCTCTGCGGCTCTCTTCTCCATGGCAACCGGATGGATGCCTCCGCGTCCAGTGACCGCAAACTGAGGGAGGAGCACTGGGAGGGAGCCTGCAGGTTTGGCAGGGATTCCTACGTCCAAAAGCACCGGCTCACGGGCTCAGTATCCAGGCTGGGCAGGAGGGCTGGGCCACCGGTGGGGTCAGCCCACCAGCCGGGGCCAGGAGGCGGTCCCTCTTGAAGCCTTCTGTTCGGTCAGCTTTAGTCTCTGTGAGGACGAGAGCTGACCTGCTGTCTCCATGGTTACTGTAGCCCCGCATAGCAGGCCTAGGCTAGACCTGGTGCACAGAAACTTCCAAGGTCCCGGCCTGCCCCCACAGAATGCTCCAGTTATCCACATATCTTATTGAGTGCTAGCTGTAAGCTAGGCTATTTGTTGGTGTGGTGACTTTTTCTTCATGGAGATTTTAGTCTAGTGAGAAAGGCAGACTAAATAAAAAGTCACACAAATTACATATTATATAGTATGTGTTTACATAGCAATCACAAGATCACAAATTATCGCCTGCCCTCCAAACGCAGAGAGCAGGGCTCTCCGACAAGACTGAGATAAGAAGACAGAATGTGTGGTGTCCCACTGGGGGGCCGGTGTGCCTGCCCCCTCCATGCTGAGCAGGGCACAGTGGGGTGTCTCTCTGACACCCCACTCCTGGCCATGCAGCGTGTGCCGACTGAAGGGACAGCTGGGCCTGCGCCCAGCCCACAGAGCTGTGCCCTCTCCCGTCCCCTTGCTCCAGCCTCCAGTCTCCTCTGGCGTGGGGCCTTCTCTGGCAGTGTCGCCTGTGGGCGGCCTCGTCTTTCCTCTCCGCTGTTATTTCCTTAATCACTTTGCCCACCCCATGGCAGAGATGTGCCCACACACCAGAGCAGGGAAAGCCTTTTGGACTTTTCCTGATTTTTTTCAGAACCACCTGCATTTTTATTCCATATCGAACCACAGAATTTACATAGAAATGCACAGAGGTTGCCCAGGGCGCCGGCCTCACCCTGAGATGGTCCGTCACTTCACTGGCTGCAGCCTAGGTTCCAAACTCCTCAGCCGGAAGTCCAGGCCTTGGTGACCTGCCCTCCGTCTGGCTTCCCAGCTCCCTGTTCCACTGGGTCCCCTCGGTCACTCAGTCTCTTTGCCCCAACCGCACTGGCACTGACTTCCTTCCCCGAACCCTCGTGCCTCTGGCCTTGGCAGGTCTCTGAACTGAAGATCCTTTTCCTCTCCAGCCCTCCAGGACTGTGTCAGCCGGAGATGCCCTCTCACCTGGAGACTATTGCTAGGGTCACTGGCTGCTGTGCACTGAGTCGCTGCACACGCACGGCGCACATGGAACCCTTCTGCTTTTGCAGGAGGGGATCGTGACGGCTCTCTGACCGATGGCTGGGAGTCAGAGAAGCCGAGAGCAGAGCCTGTGGCAGCCTCCTCTTCAGGCCCCGTCGCACCTGAGACTCCCGGGAAGAGCTCCCACAGCCCGTCCCCGCGGTCCCAGCTGACGGCTTCTGATCGTCTCCCGGAGAAGGTCTTGGATCATTTGAGTGAGTTGGGGTTTTTTTTCAATCTTTGCCACACCCAAGCCATTCTTCCTTCCAGGGCCCCAGAGAGGCGCAGCGATGACTCATGAGCACTTGGGAACTGGCACCAATCTCCCTCAGGAATGCAGGGCGTGGGGTACAGCCAGCGCCCGCGTGACGCACTCACAGAGGAGGTGACTGTCACCTTAAAGGCGTCAGAAGGACCGAACTTGCGGAGTTTCATTTGTTTTAAAAAGCCCTGAAGACACTTAGCAGAATGTTAAGCTTTGCTAAATCTGGGTGATGCACACACAGGTGTCTGTTTTTTATCTGCCTACTTAGCTGTGCATCTGACATGGTCCCCAGGAAGAAGAAGAGAGGGAGGAAAATTATCCTTTAATGCTATGTTCCTGGCAAGGAAAAGTCAGAACTTACAGTCAGTGAGATTTCCTTTCAGGAGTCGGTCTGAGCTAGATCCAGCTAGCGTGCCCCTTAATCTCCAGTTGGCTGATACCAGACAGATCGTGGGGGCACCCAGCGTCACAGTGTCTCTGCCAACGGCTTGCCAGGGTTCCAAGCCCCGCTCCCCACTTGTTAGCTGCACCTCTGAAACAATTCACCTAACTAACCCTCTAAATGTCACATTTTCCTCTGCAAATGGGGGTCATCAGAGTTCCTACCTTACACGGATGAAAATAATTCAGGTAAAGTGCTTGGCATCCTGTGTTATGTATATTAAATACTCACAAAATGTAAAGCTATGACCACATAAGGTTGAGGTTAAACCGGACGATGCATTTACAAAGTCATGGGTGTTCACTTCACTGATGATCTCTTCTCTCAAAGACCTACATGCCCTGCTCCACACTGTTCCCAGGGCAGCTATCAAAAATACATGTTAAAAAGGGGTTTCCAGTTTCCTTTCCAGGTTTTGGGATGACCAGGGAGCAGCTTTCACTGTTCAGACAGTTCCCAGGTGACCAACACCTACTAAGGGTCCATAGCCACCTCCTCCAGGGAGCCCACCATGTGCTCTGGGGGAGGGCATGTTAACTGAGCCCTCTCTGTGCTCCTCTGCTCCCAGCACTCCCCTCTCTCATGCTTGTTTCCTGCTGCATGTTTACCTCTGTGTCTTGCCCACAGGGCTATGAGTTCCTTGAGGACGGGCCCTATGTCCTAGTCACCTTGGATTGCACACTGCCCGCATAGTGCCAGGCAGAGAGCAGGGCCTCCATGCCCGGGATGGGACAATTAAATGCTCTATATCTGTCTTAAAGATAAGAACGGTCAAGTTCAGACGGGTCAAGTGAGCCTGTGCCTGTGTTCTTCACTGTGTCTGGGATGTGTCTCCCACTGACTATAGCTAAGACCCCAACCTCTTCTTTAAGGCTGAAACCAACCCAGACCTCCCCTGTGTGATCTTCTCTGGCAGGTACTTTCCTTCCCTGTGATTCCCTAGCACTCCGCACCTCTCTCCATCAGATCTATTTTCCTCTTTCTTGCCCGCCTAGGAAGCCATGGGTGGGCATGGTCTCCACGGAATTCTGTTTTACCTCCTGCACAGGTGGGTTTTGCATGTGCATTCTGTTCCAGGTGGCAATGCACATGCTAAGGGTGTGAGCACATGTGACATGTGTTTATCAGTCAGGCATGTTTGAGTTCCAGCAGGTGGAAACCCAACTCCAAATGCATTATCAGCAACAGAATTTATTGCTTCACATTAATGACAATCCCAGGCATAGATTGCAGGTGTCTGTCAGGGTCTACCCTCATTCTCTTCGGTGTCAGCTTTATTCTTTAAAAGGCTATTGGCCTGTGGTGGCCCTCTATGGCCCGGCACCTGCTACTTCCCAGGCTCCAGTCCAGCAGAAAAAGACAATAGCCTTCCAGAGCAATGTCACAAGGCCCCGTGCCATTGGTTCTGGAAGGCTCACAGTTGTACCATAAAACCAATCACGGTCAATAAGGACGCAACATTCCAAAGGGCTTGGAGCAGTCCAGATGCTGGAGAGAACTTGGTCTCTCACACGAGCCATGAACAAAGAGAAGGGGGGAGGTGATTCCCATGGAAATTATGGGCACTGCCACCAAAGAATAGCAAATAGGTGTCAACTGTTCTCAGTGAGCTTGCAGTCTAGTGAGGAAAATATGGAGAAATAAAACAGCAATTTCGACTCATCGCAAAAAGAGCACCAGTGGGGACAGCACAAACCATGGATCTTGGCTAAGGGCAAAGGGGGAGTTGAAGGAATCAAGGAAGGCTTCCTGGAGGAGGTCACACTCCAGCTAAGCCAAAACAGGTACTAAGTAAATGGCCACTGATGGAATTGAATCAATGAACACCTTGTCCAAAATTGCATAACTGGTATCTTTGCAGAATGTGAGTTTAAACCCAGTCATCCGTTAATATTCAAGTCTAGTGATCTTTGCAGTTTGTCAAACTAGGCTTGTTTCCATGAGAAAACATTTTCCAAACTTCACATGGCATCAGAGGGGGCCAAGAATAGAAACAGACTTCAGAAAGATGACCGAGTGCTCAGCCGAACCCACAATGACCTGTTAAATGTACGTGTCCACGAAAGACATGCGTTGGCTGTGACGTCGTTCACAATTGCTATACTCTGCATGCCCTGTCTCCAGGGTTCTGCCCACACAGTGGACTAAGTGCATCCTACGGGCTGACTCGGGTCTTCCTTCACAGCATCAATCACAACAAGCAATGCATTCGTAGCAGAGTAATTCCGAGTTTTCAACAACTTGGAAACTTGTTGAAGTGACTTTCAACTGTTGAGAACTTGGGCTTTTGAAGCACTGGCAAAAATAAGTTGGGGTGTGTTTAATGTGGCAACCCTCAAGCCAGCTCATTTCTTTTAGGCGATCGGACTCATCCTCAGGGGTTCCATTGGTCTAACTCATGCTTATCACTGCTGGAGAGTCTGCCGTCGGTCCCACCGTGGCTGGGCAGCAAGGGTTTGCTGATAGCAGAGGGGTTTGCTGTCAGCCCATGAGACATGACCCTCTTTTGCCCTTGAGAGACTCCCCATATGCAAAGTTGCAATTCTCTTTCCCTGCTCCGACTTAGGCGAAGCATTATGTACTGGCTGGATGGGGTTTCTAGATCTTGGCTCTGGCCCCTCAGAGCTGTGTGACCTTGGACAAATTCATCATTCCTCTCAGTCTTGGCCTTCTCATTTCCAGAACTTACGCTGACAGTCCCTGCCTCCTAGGCGTGTTGTGTTGATTAAATGAACCGATGCGTGAAAGCTCTGTGAATTATAAGGCACTCTACAAATTCAGGCGTCATCATCGTCACCGTCGTTGTCGTCATTATCATCACCGCTACATTTCTGACACTCATGCACATCCTACAAACCCTTTCCCCAACAGCAAAGCAAAAGGCAAGCCCCAAATCATTTATGTAGCATAATCATTCACTGTTTTAAGGATACAAAAAATCTAATTATTTGCAGTATTTTTCTAGCATTTCATAATATTATCGTGTTACTTCTGACAGATTGTTTGGGGTGACATACATCTTAAAACTGTTTTTGGTATGTAGAAGAGAAGTTTTAGTATGGTTTTGCTATTCCAGCATTATCTAATCAGCCATGATTTCTAATGCATTTATTTCTACTTCTCCTATTAGAAACCAGTTTGTTGGGAGAGATCTCTTTTCAAACGATTCTGCTTGCTGCATGCTTGATCATTTCTGCATGTGCAAGGTAATTCAGATTTTATTATCTTGTGGTAGTGTTTCATAATTAATGAAGCTGTAATTGATTGATGATTTACTTGCCAAATTCCACAAAGCATTTGTAAGTAGCTCTGTGGTTAAGATTTGTCATTTGTCTATGTACTTCTTCATCTATCACCTCCCTCCTCTCATCATTTCACAGAGCATACAAAAGCTAGCGCACCTTGCTAGAATTGGAGTTTACTATGTATCATCCTTTGTTTAAATCCTCAGAGACTCTGTTACAAATATAGACCTAGTACCTCTTGCCTGGAGTTCAAGGGCACTTAAAGTTCCCACTAGGGGACTTAGGGTCCTGCTGGGACCCCACCTTTTCCATTATATTTTTATATCCTAAAATAAACTATCTCTTCCAGGGATGCCTACTCAGCATCTCAGAGCACGAAATGCTCTTCTTGCCTGATCACGACGATGTTTGTTCTACCCTCTGTCAAGCATGTCCCTCCTGTCCTTTCCTCGCTCAAGTCTCCAGGCCAGTGACCACATCCCTTCTGTGCTAAGCCCACCTGTGCCGCCAGGCCTTGGCACTTGCTGTTTGCTCTGCTGCCTCGAACGGTCTTCTCCAGAAAGCCTTATAATGTATGTCCTTCCTCTTCTCTGGATCTGTTCCAATGTCACATCATCAGAGAGCCCTCCCTCCAGCACCCTGTGTGGTGCATACCGGTTCACTTTACTGTTCTCTAGAGCACTTACTGTGTGTTTGCTCGTATGGATGTTAATGACCTGTCTCTCCCTGTGAGGATGTGAGCTCCCTGAGCGCTGAGACAGGTATGTCACCTTCACTCCTGCAGCGCCGGTGCCAGGGGCTGGTCGGTGTGTGTCGAGTCAGTGAAACGGGGAGGAATGGTACAGTCCTGGGGTCTTTGCAAGAGCTACTTGCTCTCAAGTCCCACCTCTCTAGGGGCAAATACCTCACATCTCTCAGGGGAGTTGTGTTTTCAAGTTCAGAGTCCTGGATCCATACCTTGAGATACTAATTTAGATCTAGTGAGACCCAACATTTTAAAAATGAGCTCCCCAGATAATCACGAGGTCTGAGGAGTATTTTTAGATCACAGTGGGACCAGAGAAGGAAAATGGGGGACATCCTGTGGTTAAAATTCTGCCTCCTACACCACGTGGGAGGGTCACATGTGCTCAGAGTGATGTAGCCTTGGTGGAAGAATTGATGAGGAAGCGCTTTATGTGACTCGGCGTTTCCCAGACGGAATGACCATGGAACCCTTTCCTTTATCTCCCGGGGCTGTTCATGTAACCTTCTCTTAGGTGAATTTCTGTGGATACTCCCCCATTAAGAGGGAAGCTTAACTCCCCATCCCTTGAGTGTGAGCTGCATTTAGAAACTCGCTCCTGAAGAACATAGTATGGAAAGAGGAAACAAGGTAGCTTTACAGCTGAGAAATCTGACAAGGTCGACCTCACATGGTCAAGGTCAACATCAACACAGTACGTTATGCTGACAGCATGTGCCCTTGATATGATGCGGTAAGAATGGCACCTCCCCTCGGTGGTGCCAGACCCCAGGCTAAGCATGAGAGGACAGTCTACATGCGATTTGACCAGCAGTCCTCACAACCGGTGTGGTCATCAAAACCAAGGAGCGTCTGAGGAATTGTCACAGCCCAGAGGACCCTGAGGCAACATGAAGACAAAATGTGCCGTGGTGTCCTGGACGGGATCCTGGAACATGGACAAATCAGGGAAAACTGCAAAGTCCAAAGGAAGCACAGAGGAAAAGGGCAGCGAGGGACCACCGTTGGCTCCTTAACCACGGCCGCGCAGGTGCATTACCAGGTGCTAGCGATGGGCTTGGCCACACGAGGGTGTATGAGAACCCTCCGTGCTATCGTTTGCAACTTCTCTGTACGGCTAAGGCTATTCTAACACAAGAAGCTTATTTAAGTAAGCGATTGGTTGAAAAAGAACTGGTGCCCTGTTCCCATGGGCAACAGCGTGGATGGGTTTCATAGGACTGTGTAAGGGAAGTACGACAGGCACCAGAGTCTGTGGGGTTGCGTACGCATATAAACCTCAAGAGAAGGCAGATGAGTCGGTTGTTATTCGGATGTAAGAACGGGGATCAGTTCGGGTGGATAGAGTGGGATGGGCCAGCAAAGGAAACCGCACAGGGTGCTGGAAATACTCTGTGTCGTGATTTGGGTAGCAATTATAGGGGCTTAGGTAAAAAAAAAAAAAAATGCACTTTATATGCTTTAGTGTACCTTTCCTAAAGCTCAACTTCAATGAATAATTTAAATTAGATTAAATAACTTAAAATGAAAATGCTCCATTTAAAATGCATGTACAGGTGTCTAGATGGATACACATCAGATTTGCGTAATGGCTGCTTCAGGGTGATGGGATTTTTTTTTTACCTTTTTAAAATTTTTATTTAGTTATTTTTCAAGTACATTTTTTGTCTATTTCTTCCATCCCAGCCCCCCCCACCCCCCGTGATGGGATTTTTTATATTTTCCTTCCCCCCTTTGCATTTCTTTGTAATCTCTTTCCATAAGTCATAGTCCAAACATGAAAGCAATAAAAACACTAGTCTTTAAAAATAAAGGGAAAAAAAAAAAAAAAAAAAAAAAAAAAAAAAAAATAAATCCACCCTGCAACAGAGTCATTCATCTGATTGGCAAAACCCCAGATGCTTAACACACTTTTGGGCAGTAGTCACACACATTTTATCCTTTGTTTTTTTCTAGAAGTTTTATACCTTCGTGGTTCATATTTTGAGTTAAATTTTATGTTAAGGAGAGATTACGCATGCCAGTTCATTCCTTGCCCTTGAATAGACAATTGTTTCAATGCCATTCACTGAAAAGACTCCTTTCTCCACTGAACTGCTTTTGCAACTTTGTTAAAAGTCACTTAACTGTCTCCATTTCTGGGCTGCCTCCCCTCTTCCATTGATCTGTATTTCTGTCCCTTTGTCAAAACCACACTCTCTTTGTTACCATAGTTTTATACAATAGCACTGATGAATCCTAACACCACACATCTAGAGTCAGTCTAAGAGAACGTCCCACGTGCTGGGAATGCCTCATGAGACCGCTGACCCTGAGCGCTTCCTTGTTGCAGATGGTTTCTGGGCGGAATGCTGGCCAGTGCCCTCACGTGCTCCTGCATGGTAACTGTTGCTTGTAAGTAACCGTTTCCCAAATGACTCCTCTGATTCCCCTGTTCCATTCCAACTTTGGTCGTTTCAATATATTTTGTCTTTCTCATCCAAGATGTTGCCAAGTTACTGTTTCTCAGCCTCGCCGGCTTCTTCAAAGCCACCCCCTGGGCTAGGAGAGTGTCGTCTGTGTTGTCAGCATCTGGACCAAGATGACCGTCGTCCGAAATCTGGGACTTTGTGCTGAGTAAGGGTGGATGGCACCACTGCCCACAGGAAAGGCCTGGATCGTTTGTCCTGAAGACGACTTCCTGTCAGAGCAGAAATCTAACAATGTCCTCAACCTCTGTCCCAGTTCTTACATGAGAATAGATAGAATTCACTTTTAAGGCAGCGGGACTTAAGAAGTAATGAGGATTTTAAATTTTTAAGCAGTATTAAAGGTCTTATAGATCCAATGCACTGCATTTTAACAATGCCTCCTATGAAGAGAACTCTTTCCTACAGCTTCTCAAATAATTGGCAAACGGCCCATGAAATGGTCTCGTCAGGAACCGTGGTGTCTCCGCTGTCTCTCAGGCACTTAGCAATCCCCCTGCAGGCTGATGGCCACGTTAGCGTATTTCACAGGGTGACTGGGGTCTGGGTGAGAAGCTTTGGAATTCCAAGCAGCCCGCAGAGCACCATCCGCTGCAAGATGGATTGTGTTAATTACCTTCCCTTCAACGTGGCAGCTGGAGGCCAACTCCCGGAGCTGGGAGGCTGAGGTCTGTAATTCAAATCGGTCCTCAGGCCTTTGCTCTGGCACCGTGTCGCCCCTATTTACACACTTTCTGTTAATTCTGAAATCACAGTGACGCCGAGGGAAGATTTATTTTGTTGAGGACTCCGGCCAATATTGATTTACTGACACTTTGAGTGATGTGTCCCTTACTTTTCCTAGCATTCCAGGCTTCTGGGTGCAGGCATTAATATGGCTAAATTTTGTTTAATCTGATAGTTAGGAAATTGGGTCCTGAGGCCACCTGCAAGAGAAACCCTTATTCTTTAGCCCTTGTGGATGAATGACATTCATTTAAAGTTCTTCTAAGGTAGGCGGCCCCTCCTGGGGCTGCAGGTGCTCTCCACCTCCCTGCAGTTGTCTACTGCTCCGCTTTATGGGCCGGGATGTTGCCCCAGGCAGGGCTGGCCGAACAAAAGGCTCTTACCCAGGGAGTCCTTTTGTGACCCAACATTCAGATGCGAAAACATCATTTTTTGTCAGATGGGGTGAATTGTATAAATCCATTCTCTGCGGGTTTGAAGATGAACATGTACCATTAATCTGAAAGACAACACCCTGTGGTAGGAAGCTCCTAAGGAGGGCAGAGCTTCTCAGAGGGCGCCATGGCAACGACCTCTCTAGGGTCAACCGGGGAGCTTGATTAAGGAGCAGATTTGTGTAACCTGAACCCACCCCTTCCCAGTCCAAACTTCTGAGGAGTCTCCACTTTCAACAGCCTCCCCAGGTAATTCCTTGTACATTAACTACGGAAATCTTGGAAAGGTGGTTTGTAAAACCCTGCAGTGGCCTCACTTTACCTACTGAATCTTAATTGAGGCTGTGCATGCTCTGTGTGGGACTGGGTGCCCTGCTCTGCTCTGCAGCTGCAGATGTTTATGGTCTCTGGCAAGAGTCAGACTGTATTGCTAGGTGACAGGGTTGCACGCCAAGGCCTTAAGAGTTCAGAGCCTAATGACAAGAGCATGGGAAGGGCAGAGTGAAGGTGACTTTTAATATGGAATATGGGAAGTGCAAGTGGAGAGTTAGCACAGAGACTATGGGGACACGGAGGGGGGGATGTGGGGGGAGGTTTTTCCAGACCAGGAGTGGGGGGGAGGTGGGGGGGAAGGCTTCTGGGAAGATTCAGTCCCCAACCTGCTGCTCTGAGGTCTGCCCAGCTGAGGTTTGTTCTCTCCTAAAAGTAATTAGGTCTGGACTGTGATGCCATTTCCTCCAGACCGCTCTCATCCACAGCCTCGTTTCTAGGAGATGGCTTCTCTGATTTTTTGTGTACATACTTCCAAGTTGTTCTTCTAAAGAACACTCCCTGCCCACTCCCTGCCCACCACAGACACACACACACTTGCATTTAAGACCTTTGAAAACAAAGACTTTGATTTCCCTTTTGTTTCTATCTCAATGCCTTGAACATTGTACACATGCCATAAATACTCATTAAATTGAATGTATTCGCTGTGTCATTTCTTATTATACCCATGGGCTCTGTGCCTATAGAGTACAGATTTTGCAACCGTCTCCCTCACATATAGACACATCCAGAACCTAATGAGCCAAAGACATGGTAATGACCATCAACGGTGAAGAATGACTCATAAGTCTGTTTCAACCAACAGGGATGAGGCTCCTGGGGGTGGAGGGCAGGCTCTGAATCCAGTTCCACAAACTTTGATGGAGAAGCCCTCCCTCACCTGCCCTGCACGCTGTGTACTTAGGTTAGGTGCCAACCCTTCAGCACTTCATGCTTCTCAAGTCACATCCCTTTTCGTCCCATAATGCAATTCTCATTCAACCACCTTGTTAAAAAAGTCTATGGGTTTGGGACTGCCTTCATTGCTCACCATTGACCAGAGAGTCCCTTTCAAGTGACAGTCATCACAGGTGTCCCACTTGCCAATAATGTGTTAGCATCAGCAGTGTGCATTTTGCAAATGTATGGTTTTAGGGTAACGAAATGGGTAACGTCTGTTCTCTCTACACTTATGTTCAGGAAAGCATGTTTACATAGGTGGTGAATGAGTGGATGAAACGTAGGGAGTGGAAACATGGGAAAAACCCACTTGTCACCCTGCAGGCATCTCAGCTGTAGAGGAGGTGGAGAGACAAGGCAATATGACCGGGTACTGAACTAAGAACCAAGCGGGGACCAGGGGCAAACATGCTGTAGCCTGTCGAGGAAACGGAGAGAACTGAGACCTGCTAAGGCAAGAAAAAAAATACAGACATGTTACTCAAAGCTGAAGCTCCACTTTCCTAGTTACGATCACTCCAGCTCGTTGGTTGGTGTGTACGCACATGTGTGCGTGTGCCGTGATTAGCACCGACACCGCATTTCCTGTGCATGCGGATGAATTATGCATTTCCCCTCTCCTTTCTCTGGTCTAGGTTTGCCAGAATTTGACAAGCCATTCAGGAGAGCCTCCGATGAACGTCTTCAATCTGAATTGCTGGAAATTGTCCGAGTTGCAGCCTGCTTGGAATCAGCTGCTTTACTGGAAGGGAGTGCGCAGATAGATACTAGAGAAATACCTTTTTAAGCTGCTTATGGGATAATTTAAAAAATCTCAGTTTTGCCCTCATAATATGTTTATGAAAGTAATATTAATTCATCCTCCCCTTGCCAACACTAGCAGGGGAAAGGGAAATGGAATAGAGAACACAGCACCCAGGGAAAATATTGTCCTTTTATTCCCTAAGGCCATGGTGCTCGAGCATTAATTTTTATTTGAGAATTCTAGGGGACACTTGTAACGAGGCAGATTCCTGGGCCTGCCCACATGGGCTTCTCCTCACTCAGCTGAGTTAGTTGAATGAGGAAAGCCAGTTGGTACTGGTATCACCACCAATACCATCTTGAAAGTAAACAAATGCAGCCCGTACTTAAAATGCAACCCAGGCACAGTCATTCTTTTTCCTGAAGGAGCGGCTCCATATTTGGTGGCGATGGTAGCTAACGGGTGATGGAAAATTGGCAGCTCGGGGGCCGTGTTCAGGAAGGTACATTCTCCTTCTGAACCATTGCCTTTACCAAGTGTTCAGCCTCATCGGGGCTCCTGAGAACGTTCCGCTGAAACCGCACTGAAGATCCAACACAGAAGACTTCCTTGAGGGGAAAAGAAAGGCGAAACCCCAGGGCGCTTTGAGAGACGCGGCAGTGGTGCCACGGCAACACCGGCTGTGGGTGGCAGACGGCGCCCCCTTGCCATCCCTCTGGCTTGGGATACGTTCCCGATCGTGCCTTGCCATTCAAATTTGCTCTCTGTGACGTTCTCTGAGTGGAAACCTGTGTGGAGAAATTGCTTAAAACAGTCATGTCAAAATATCAGTTCTTATGTTGTTTGTATGTAGAGCATTTTGGGTTGAAAAGGATGGTGTTCTTCTGATAGATGGAGGCAACAGCAAGTTACACATGCGTGTTGCAACACGAGCCATCACGGAGGGGAGTCGTTCACAGAGCACTATATATCAGTTTCTCGTAACTTCTGAAACAGATGGCCACAAGCCAGGGGCTTAAACTATGTGAATTCGTTGATTTATGTTTCCAGAGGTCGGGAGCTAAGCTCAAGGCATCGACGGCCCTGTTTTCTCTCGGAACGCTTTGGGGACAGACTTCTTCCTGCCGGGCTCTCCCGGCTGCCTGGCTTCGGTCTTGCTACTCCCGTGTCTGGGTGGCCCTCGCCTGCCTCTCCCTCTTGGAACCTTGTCATCCGTCTAGAGTCCCCTGAGCCCTCACCGCCACTTGGGAGGCTTTCCTCGAATCCTCCAAGATGATTGACAGGCTTCCTCCCTGTTGCTGTGCCCTCTGATCTCAGCTCCTCCTGGACGTCTCGAAGGGTTTGCAATTCTTGTTTGCGGCTTCCCAACTAGTTGTTGACTGTGTTTGAAGACCACGTGGTCATCACGGCCCCAGGCTCGTCCAGGTCTTCACGGCCCCTGCTCTTCCGTTACTACTAAATCCCTAGAATTTCTCCCCAGGTGTTTTCCGGAGTGTCCAACGTGGCCAGGCTGGGGCTTTCGCTCCGGAGGGCGAAGCGCAGGGACAAACGGTTGGGCAGCTGTTGGTGTGCACACTAGGACCGTGCCGCACGGCCCTGGCAGAGTCTCAACGGGTTTCATGTTCACAATTCTGCTCTCCTGGCTTCTCAAAGAGGCTGGGGTTTCACTGTCTGCTGGCTTTGCTGTCTCACTTTGTTAAATGTTAGTGGGGGGGGATCCACCAGTCAAATTTGACTTCGGGGTGTCTACAAACCTTTCCCGACCTTTACATGCATCAGGACATTCTCGTTCTTCACTCCGACTGCCGCGACCTTCAGGAATGTCATGGTGCCTTCCCTGCTCTGGAAACAGCTGACTCTGGAGGAAGACATACAGCTCCTTCCTCTCTGCTGGTGGAAAGGCCTTCCACAGTAGGGCAGTCCATGGCCTTGGCCTCCCAGCAACTGCCACTCGGCCTAGGTCAGCTGCCAAGTGGTTTATGGTCACATGGGCACCTGGGTTCCCTGCTCTCCTCTCCTGGCAACCTTCCAGACCCGGAGCCTGCCAGGCGGCCTGAGGGGTCCATGTCCCCTCTAACAGCATCGCCGCTCTGTGTACAAACGCTGGGGTTCATGGGGGAGGCTAAATGCAGATGGACTACTTTCACTCTGCTGTTAAAGTTCCCATGTGGACAAAGCAACTGTGATTTTTAAGCTTCATTTAAAGCTTTATAAAGAGGTACAAAGAGTTTGGGCTTCAGAAGGATCCCAGAGCTCACACTGAATCCTGCTCACAGCTTATTTGGTGAGGTTCCTTAACATCTCTCAGTCTCGGTTGCTTTATGCATAAAATAGAGATGGTAATTCCTACTTTTCAGGGTTGCTCTGAAGGTTACTGGGAACGTGTTTTGTGAGGGGGATGGCTCTGATCCTCCCTGTGATACCTGCATTCATCATCTGTTTCTGAGTGACAGTGTTAGCACAAACTTAACAACTTAAAACAGCCCCCATGAGCTACTGCCCATGGCGTCCATGGGTCAGCAGACTGACACAGCTTGGTCGGGTCCCCTGAAGTCTGCCATCAAGGTGCCGGCCAGGGCTGGGGAAGGTTCTCCCTCCAAGCTCACGTGGTTGTTAGGACAGCTGGCCCACTGGCTAAGGATTTCCCCAGCTGAGCCTTCAGGTGAGAGCCCAACCCAGACATGTCTTGTCTGCGGCCTTGCAGAGAACCCAGTGAGACTGACTCGTTCTAGACTCCCGGCCCAAGGGAACTGCGAGACAATACACGTGTGTCTGAAGCTGCTGGGTTTGTGCTAACGTTGTGACACAGTGATAGACGACAGGATACACCCGAATCTCCACCAAGTTATTTTATGAGTGTAACTCAAGTAAAAGCCGTGTGTTGCTCTGTGAAATGACTTCAGAACAAGTCCCCTTGCAGCGGTCTGGGGCCAGACTGCCGCCCCTGAGCCTGGCCATGGAGAGCAGCTATTCCGACCTGGAACTCCTGGGCTCCTTCCTTGGCGGGGGGTGCAGAGAGTCTGACTGTGGACCCGTGTGCAGTCAGGAAGACTTACTCATCACGGGCGGTCAGCCTTCTGCTGACGGCCAACCCGCTCCCTCTGAGCATCCCCTTCGCCGGCGCAGCCCCAGCAGCAGGCAATGTGGTTATGGAGAACGAGGTCTGTAGCACATGATACATTTGCTGCTTCCTGGGAATGACTGCCCTTGCTGGGGTTTACAACAGTAGTTGGAATATTACCTGAGACGCGTACTTGACCCTATAGTCTCACTCACTCATTCATTCGGTAAATACATGTTTAGTCCCTACCACGTGCCTAGAGCCAGTCTAGCTCCTGGAGACACAACAGTGAAGAAGGTAGATCAGGTTTCTGCTGTCATGAGCCTGAATGTTTATGTGGCTTCCTTTCACTCTGAGAAATAGGCAAAATAGCCGTTGAAAAAGTTTTAATGTTGAAACAACATGAACACAGAAAACATGTAGAACAATACGTAATTGGATAAATTAGTATGAGGCAAATGCCTTTACAAGAAGCAAACGGGAGAGAGAACAGTGCCAGTACCCACATCGGGAGCCCCGTGGGGCCCACGCCCACGACCTCACCCTCGGCAACTCGGGCCGGATCCTACGGTGATCACCTCTGCGTCCCTCTTTGGAGTTTTAGCACCAGCGTTTACTCCTAAAGATTGTAGCATAACTCCGTCTGCTTTGTTCATACGTCTTTGGGGCCTTTTTTAATGTGAAGAGTCTCCCTCCAACTATCTCCCTACCTTTGAGGTTTGTCTCTCGTGGAAACTGGGTCCGTCAGCCAGCGGCATTTCCACAGCTGGAATGTTGCCGATTGCATTGCTGGGGTACAGGTTTGTGTTTTGCTCTATCCTCTGTATTTCCTGCCAAGGGGTGGTTGATTATAGGTGCTTACTAAGTTGCAGTTTTGAATTTTTTAGGGGAAGGGGTACAACTACCTCGTAGGTAACATCGTATTTCTCAGCAAGAGGCACAGAACGTCTCCTTGTGCTGGCGGCGGCCAGCTCTGCCCGATGCCTGGGGCCTTGATCCATTAGGAGTCGAAAGCTGATGATACTCCCATTTGATTCCTTCATGTACCTGCTGGGCTATGTCTTTACCGAGAAATACCTGCCATCTAATTACCCGGTAGTTCAACTTTTATAGGAAAGGAAGGATGAACGCTTCAGTCTTTCCCTTTGTTTATAATTTTCAAAACAAAAAGTTAGTTCCTTAAGCATCTTTCAAAAATGACCAGGATACTACTTTCTTTTTTTTTTTTTTTTTTGCATTTTTAAAGACTGCATTTTCTAGAGCAGTTTTAGGTTTAAAAGAAATTGAGAGTAAGGTACAAAGATTTTCCATATATATGCTCCTGTCTCCATGCTTGGAGATATAGTCTTCCCCTTTATCAATATCACTCACCAGATGGTACATTTTCTTCTTCTTTTTTTCAACTAAAAATGAAGCTAAACTTGTTACGGTGGGTAGTGATTAACAAAGGAAGGGAGCAAATGGAATCACACATTAAGCCTGCTTACGTGAGACCCTCCGGGGATAGCCACATTGCCTTCCCAGGGGCATTAGCTTCCCTCTGTCCCTCTGAGTGGAGATGAAGGGCCAGCTTTCCAATCTCCCTCAGGAACAACTAGCCTGTTAGCCAGGATTATGGCAAGGGTGGGGCAGCATGTACATTGGAAGCCGGGATGGCGTAGGGGGAGGTAAGGTCATGGCCAACAGAAGCCAGGTGACTAGGCAGAACTTGGAGGCATGTGCGGCAGGAGCCAAAATGGTAACATAAGGGGGAGGAGTCTAGCCTGGGAAAGTCTGGGGGAGAGACCAGATAGGATGAGGTCACGAAACCTGGAGGATCCCAGATAGGGGTTGGGCAGGGGGAGGCATGAGCACAGGCCCACAAAGAACTCGGAAGAAGATGGGTTAGTTTGAAAGAAAGCTTACCCCTTCCCAAACCCAAGGAGATATAATCAGAGCTGAATGGGACTCGTTCATTTGAGGGCTCTGGCTGTGTAGCAGCCAGGTGGGCCTGGCAGCTGTGTGGGCTAAAGTGTGGCCCAGGGCAGGGCCCGGGCGCCACTGGGCCTTGGTGCGGATGTACAGGTGGGGACATGAGGCACAGGGAAGTTCTCCCTCTCTGCGTCGTGGCCCTCCTGGGCCTGACAGGCACAGGTGTGGGTCCGAGGCCCCGGAGGCTGGCCTTCTCTTGCAGCGGGCTGCAGCTGAGCCATCCAGTCTCGGTGTGGCATCGGGCCCCTGGGGGCAGTCCTCTGTGGCTTCAGTAAATGTTGCCGTTACTGCTCACATCCTCCTATGCACGAGTTCCCGAAATGCTTTTCCCATGACCCCACAGATGAATCCTATTTCCACGGGCAGCAAATTGACACATCAAATTCACCCAAAGTCCACAGTGTACCTTAGGGTTCATTCTTGGTGTTGTACATTCCATGCCTTTGGATAAACTGACTCTAAAACTTATGTGGAGAGGCACATTTTAATAATAAATAAAAATGAGAATTAAAAAAATCTGTGTTTAAATGACCACCCCCCCCCACAGTCCAAACTCGCCCTGTTCAAGGGCCCACTGTATTTTTTATCCATGGTTGGGAACCCGAGTATGTGGGGGAACCGCTGAACTTGCAGGGCTATTTTCTTCTTCTGAAGCGGTCGGCACCCCAAACATTATTCAAGCGTCATCTGTGCATCTGTGTGTAGCAGGTATTTATTGGTCCTGTTTCCCTGGAGAACCCTTATACAGCCGGTTCTATCATCACTGTTTTATGGGTAACCTTGGGGAGGTTTGGAAACTTCCCCACGGTGCAGAGGGGAAGCGGGAGGTGCGGGCCCAGGCCCTGCGACCCACAGCCCTGCTCTCCCAGGACTGGCTGCTGCTGAGCAGGGTTGAGGGAGATTGGGAGAGGCTGGTGCCTTGAGGGTCCATTACTGTCCAAGTCACTCTCTCCAGAAACACTGACTCAGAAAAATGTTTCCCAGGGGGCAAGAGATTAAATGAAATTGGCCGTTTATTTATTTATTTATTTATTTATTTATTTATTTATTTATTTATTTTTAAGGACAACTGTGACCTTTATACTTTTTTCTTGTATTTCAAGTTTCTCAAATCTAGACCCAGAGATTCGATGTGAACGAGAAGCGTTATAAGAGAGAAATCACCAGACACCGTCTGGTCCACTTCAGGACCTTTGCTTGTAGAGGCTTCAATAGCTGCAACTAGCTCATAGAAAGAGCTGCCATTTGATGAAGCACCTACTGTGTGCCAGACGCTTTATGTGCCACATCTATAATCCAGGCCACAGCCCTGCCAATGACTACTTTCTTGTTTCAGCTGCCTCAACAGGCAAAACCAAGGAATGCCTGTGACGTGGGACAGGCAGCCCTCCTTCATGTTAGGACAATGCCATTGACCATATACGGTCTCCAAGCCAGCCTGTTTAACTGCCTCTGATGGGGAGTGACTTACCCCTTCC